TATATATATATATACATATTTTGAGATGGAACCTCTCTCCGTCGCCCAGGCTGGAGTGCAGTGGGGCGATCTGAGCTCACTGCAACCTCTGCCTCCCGAGTTCAAGTGATTCTCCTGCTTCAGCCTTCCAGGTAGCTGGGATTAGAGGCACATGCCACCATGCCTGGATAATTTTTGTAATTTTAATAGAGATGGGTTTCACTATATTGGCCAGGCTGGTCTCAAACTCCCAACCTCAGGTGATCTGCCCACCTCAGCCTCCCAAAGTACTGGGATTACAGGCATGAGCCACTGCGCCCACCCCAAAGCACTTTTCACATTGAGCCAACTCTCCTGCCCTGCCAAAGCTGTGGGCTCAGCTCCCACCTCAGGACTGGCCTTCGCAGTAGACTTACATCCATGGTTCTCACTGGGCTCCATAGGGACCCTGGGAGGCAAGCAGGAAGGACATTGTCCCCATTTTTAAGATAAGAAAGCCTATTCACAGGAGATAAGGTGGGTGTCGAATAGTGTAGAGCAAATCAGGTATTTGTCTTTTCCTGCAGGGTCACAGACCACCCTGCCCCTACCTTTTAGGGCTGACAGAAGGCCCCGTGTTGCCAACACAGATCCTGGGAGGGTTGAGACGTACACTTTAGCCCGTTAGGTCGTAATACATCTTGTACATCAGCTATTCTCTCAGATAGGCAATTAGTGGAACAGACACCCACCCAAGCTGATTCAGACACAAAGGGGGTCTCACGGAACCCAAACGCAGGAAGTCATCCCAGGAACTGCAAGCTCATTAGACAGGCACTCTCCTTCTCACTGGACTACAGTTTTTTTCTCTTTGTAATCTGTTACCCTTTACAGAAAGTGCTTGGCTATCTTTTACAAGTCCCATTGTGACCACCAGCCCTGGGTCTGCCTGCCCGAGTCTGACGATGCCAGTGCCCACCCCTGTAAAAGCAGTGTCCAAGCCTTGGGAGCACTTGTTTGGCTCAGCCTAGGTGATGAGCACGTTTTCCCAGGTTAGGCTTTCAGCCCTGGCCCATCGCCATAATATGGGAGGAAGTGTTGGGTCAGCTGGTTCAAACTGGGCAGCAGGAACATGCAGAGGGAAAATCCTAGGAGGGAGGTATGTAGGGAGCCAGTTACAAGTGTAGGAAGAAACTGTGAACGACGTTGAAACTTACAGGTGTCCTGAATAACTTACTCATCTAGGTTATCTCTGGCTTTTGTTGTC